AAATACGTCACGCAGGTTCAATATTGTAACTAGTATAAATAATGTACGCTTGGCACATTGCCAACATCAAAGGATGATTTCACATCTGTATTTTAAATGTGGTGTATGATTTGATAAAAGTTAAAATGTGCTTTCATTACCACTGCCACTCGCCTAATTTCGAACACCGATTCTCTAATTAGCCTGCTGAGATTCGATTAGTCGTTTCTCGGGAAATCAAAAACTTTACTTCTAATACAAAGATATCACCTACATTATTGGACCTGCATTCTTAACAAGTGTCTACACTACATTAACCTACTGCAATGGATGAAAGAAATGGGGTTTATCGTCAAACTTTTGTGAACCACCCGGGCTAATGTACCATGTGGGAAATTTTACCCGGGCAGCAATTGAATTCCAGCTGTCTCGGATTCTTTTATGTGCACACCAACCAACATGTATACGGAACCTCGGTTTTTCCTCCCATCCAAACGACTGTACGCTGTTCATTGCTAGGTCCTCCACCTTATACCACTGATATGGAAAACCACGCTGGAAATGAATGAAATGGAATTGAGTTTAACGTCCTATTGTTCCGTTCCGACTGGGCTAATGAAGACGGGCATACATACGCCATACAGTGTGCTATGGGGAAATTTTGCCCGGATAGCGGCACTATGGCCTACTATTATATCGAATTCCAACTGCAAAGGGATCTTTTACGTGCACGCCAGTGTATACACGGTACCTCGGATTTTCGGCCCTCCGTCTTGCACCACTGACAAGAGGAAACTTTCTCGGCCAATGCTGGGGTCAAACTGGCGACCTCCAGGCTAGCGAGCCAGCGTCTTACCCACTTAGCCACCACGATGGAAAATCCCGGGGAACACGAACTCCGAAGCTGCTGGTTAGTGGACCACATCTCGATCCGATGCATCTGCAATGTATACGTTCAGACTTTAAAATATTAATTAAAAGTACGTCCAATTCTAAATCAAGAGCGTGACCTAATACGACGATTGATTCAAGGGAGACGACTTGTTTTACGATTGCCATCCTTTCCAAACATCCTTTAGAAAATCCTAACCGAGCTTCATAATGTCCTCCAAATACCATCTATACATGTTTTAGAATGATTAGAATAACTCGTATCAGAAAAAGAAGTTAATCACTATGGAGATGAATTCACTCCCGAAACTGTCAAAGGCATCATAGTTTTATAATACACGCTAACGAAATGGCAAGGGCAGTGGATGTTTTTTTTTTCATAAATGCAACACGATTTACAGACACTTTGTAGTAGATATAAAACCTACAAGGCATATTTTATTGGTAGTTGGCAATTTATGGGGGAAAAACACGAGGTCGGTGGTTATAAGTAGTATTTGATTATAGTACATGACGTATATATTTATTGAAAGTCATTACTAAGAGTAAAATGTAGTATATATAATATTTTACTCAATGAATTATTAAATAAATATACCTTTAAAAAGGACGGATGTAAAATGGAAATGAGCATCTCGTCCGTGACGTATTAACTAACTATAACTACACACAGGCCTAAGGGGTCTCCCAAACAGCCAAATGGATTTGTTCTCTAATTAGAAAGAAAAAAAATAAATCAAATGAAAATGATCAAAAAAGACACCATGGCCTTTAAATGGACAGTTGTTCCCTAAATCATTATATTATGGGTTTTTTTCCCCGATGAGTAAAGTAAAAGACACCCAAATGTTTTCTCGTCGGTATTCGCTCGGTCATTATTTCGTACATGGCCCCACTAAAGGTTAACTTGGATAATTTAGACACTTATAAACACACATCTGATTACATGTGAAGTGCGGTGGGTATGATTTCAGCGGATATCTTTCCGATTCCAACTGTCCTGGGATCGTTTACAAGTTTCGCTTATCAGAATACAAACCTGTGTTTTTGTCCCATTCGAAACACTACAAACATATGCTTTGGGACATGACCACAGCGAGAACCGGTCTCCTTTGTCCACGTCTATAAAGGGGCGAACGGTCGAATGTGGTATATTCAAACTACAAAATCCAAAATGCAATACCGAGAAATAATGAGAGGACTTTCTAATTCTAAATTGAAAGAAAAAATATTTGAAAAGTATATTATTCTATGACAAATAAAATGAAATTGAAATCTAATCTAAATCTAATCAAACATCGTACGTCGTATAATGTATAATTCTATGAAATTTTGAGTTACCAACGAGGCGTGATATATAAACAGCTCATAATAACTGTTTATTAGACTCAGTGATAAATTCTTATGTATCTCTAGAGTTGATTGATATCGATAATAAAATCAAGACTTCGCAAAATAATTGCTAAATTTGTATATTTCTTTGTAGAACAAACTATTCATTCATTTCGATTTGTCTATCTTGAGATATTCAGTTTTCCTTACGTCTTTTACTGTTAAGAATATCGTAAGTTACTTTTAGATCATAGACCGTAAGAGATAAAAAAAAAAAACTGTTAGCTGCTGATATGTTATCATTATTTTAAAATATTACACAGCTTAGCGTATACTGGTGTTTCTATATTTACCTAACTTACGTTCTGGGTGTATTTCATGTACGAGGCAGGGTATGCATCATGTTGCACGTTTCCTTTTTTCCAAACATTTGTTTACATGTCTCGTAAAAGCTAGTTACATGGACACATAACCCAAACATTACTATTACACTATTTTCAATTGCCACTGTCGTTTTATTTTTCCTTTCTGTAAAGTAGCATTTATCAAAATGTTGTTCAAAACCGTGTGGACGGTGGACGGGTGTATAGGCATTAATGTGTTTACAGAAAAGAAAAACAACAAGAGGGGATTAATATCGGTTTCTTCGCTTGAAAAGTGTCATAAACGTTTATATACATATAATGTGAAAACATTAATCTTGTTAGGCTATCCATTGTTTTTAAAGGGAATCAATCAGATATTTGAAAAGGTATATTTATATAGCATACACGCCAAATGGAAACAAGCGAATAAATTCTTTAATATTAATACAAACAAAGTTGCGAAAACGATATTCCAAAACTAGTATCGTTGTTTATAAGGGTTGTTCCAAAATATGTGTTTATATTTTTAAAAATCATTGAAGTGTATTATTGAATAAATATAACTGAATATATATATGCCCTTTTGTGGATATAAGGATTAGCTTTATTTCAATTTTCCTTATGTTGCTCTCAGGGATAAGGGGACAATAGGCCAGACTCCAGAGTTAAATTTCTTGAGCAGAACTGATTTCTGAAAGTAATTCTTTGAAATAGATAATATTATATGGAAATACTTTGCAATCTGTAAAAAGGTAATTAGGCCCCATTTTCGCCCTAGAAAACTTTAATGAACTGTTTTGGACATACATTTGACATAAGAATAATACAAACTATATGAAAGTTTCAATAAAAAAATGTTTTAAATTCTGTAATTTAAATATTGAAACGTTTTATACCGCCTGTCATTAAGACGTTGGTTCGCTAACCTCGTGGTACAGTGTTCGATTCCTGTGTTGACCGAGAAAGTTAATCGGGATTTTTCGGCGTGGTTCCACATTGTCAGTGGTGCAGGACGGGGATGGCCTGGCAAGGGACAACGAATAATCGTTTTGGACGGGACGAAAAACCGAGGTCCCGTGTACACATTGGCGCGCGCGTAAACCAACCCTCGACAGTTGGAATTCGATATAAGAGTAGGCCGTAGCTCTGATGTCCAGACAAAATTCCCCCTTCCCTCATAACACACTGTATAGGTATGCCAGTCTTCATTAGACCAGCCGGCGCAGAACAGTAGGAGGTTAAACCCCATTCCAGTTCATTTCATTTCATTTCTGTCATTGAACATTACAAGTATTACACATATTGATGTTGTTTCCACCCCCACCCCACCCTTTCAATTAAAAGGAACGATTCTATTATATTCGAAAAAAAAATGTATGTATGTAAATGATTCAGTCCATTTAATAGAAGTTGACCTTTTGTAAACTGGTTTACAACATAATATGTATGTCTACGTAAATGCCAGCGATAATAGTAAATAACTGCAGGTACGGGACAGACACGAATAAAACGGATGAAGAGGCTATTTTCTTTGACATTTTAGATAATTCAAGTTAGACCGGACACCATTCGTCCGGATGGTATATCTCTTATTTCAACAATTTCCACATCTATACCAAAAGATAATACAAATTTAATACACATTAAAGAGACACTGTAACTTTCGTGAAATTTAAAATAACCTTAAAATCATCTAATTATCGACAATTCAAACATTGAATGATATGGTGTATTGCAATGATTGGTTAGAATAAAACATTTTAAGATTGGGGTACGATCGGATCTTTATAGCCCCACCCCACCCCACTTAACACTGGTGTAGGACGGAGGGCACGGCAAGGAAAGGCGGCTAGGCCCTCGGAAGGGATGACACACCGATGGTATGTATATCATTAGTAGGACCTTAAGATTCACTGGCGAATATTATTTCCAAAATGGAAACTGTAATTATGTGATATTTAGTCTGGCAAGGTAAGAATATGTCTGATTCTTCTACTAAAATTTGAGTGGTTATAATAGGGGTCATTGGAATTTACACCAAAACATAAACATTGTATATAGATTAAAGATTCGCCCTTATGAACTAGTGGCGGGTAAATTCTTATAATGCCTAACTTTATTATATACTATGTATTATGGCATAATCCAAATAATGTAAACATTACCTAGAACTACTGGGACTTTAAACATTAGATAAACTTTTTTATCTCGTAAAACCACTCAGAAGATAAGTCGTATGTACATACTATCTATATACTGACAATGTAATAGATTTGTTTATACTATGTTGAACATTGTACAAACCTTCTGCTGATATCATTAGATATGGCTATATATATACGAATATCTTTTAATATGAATCCAATTAATCTTCGATTTATCCATGTTATCATTTTGGAATATTTTTTAAGCTTTACAGATGCACGTGTAAAATACCGATTATATTTTAGGGAAAGTGGGCGGGGCGAGAGGGGTGTGCCCAGAGGGAATTCCGCTCTGCCTCGTTTTCAATATTCACGTTTAGTCTTCAAAAGATTGTAAAGCGTGATGGCGGCTGCAGACGGCTCTCCGCGTAAGTATACATTTTATTCCAGTTTACATTTTTTGACAGTCTTTGTGAGAAATGGATAACATTATGGAGAATTTACGGGGTTTTTTATTAAAAATATTCGTGAATATCTTGCAGCACGATCGCTTGAGGTAAATAAACGCATACCGGGCGACAGTCATACTGGCTATGATAATATGATACACACAGTTTATACATTATTGCCTCTAGTCTCCCAGACCCATGTTATGCAGCAGGCACCGTCTGACTCACGCGATTAAATTATGCCATCACCGACTTCACATAATCAATAATGTGCTGGTGAACAATATTAGAATAAGACAATGATAGGATTAAAAATGTATCCCCAGAATATGGTATAACAGAAATTTTAGGATCAGTCTCTAGTATTTCTTAATTCTTGTAAATTAACATGGACAAGTAAATATGTATTTTTTTGAATAAAAGCATTGAGAAAACATATTATTAACATAGACAAATGTGTACTCAATTTGAAAATGTTTTCTTTTCGTTGTTGAATTTTGTGATTTCGTTATTTTTAAAGACGCTTGTCACGTCCGAAGTTTGCAAGTGACAACTTCGACTATTGTGTTGTATTTGTTTTTGGATGTTTATTCAAATATAGAGTCAGTAGGGATGCAATCACATCTTTTTTCAAACTTGAGGTTATTTAACCATAGGCTGTCAGTCTGTCTCAAAAATGGCAGTGTAAGAAAAGGCAAGAAAGACACCAGCCTGTTATTGAATGAAAAAACATGTCTGTAAATTGAATGAGAAAACACTTCTTTTGGAAAAGGGGGTGGAATATATTTTTAAAATGGGTATTTTTGGGGTTTTTTTTCAAATGTATGTAATTATTGAAAGCTTTATTCTGGATTAGTCATCCTGTAAACGAATGGTAGAAAAATGAATTTATGAATTTGTTCATTTAATATTTTATCCTCTCACTAGTACAACTTCAAAAGAAACAAAAAAAAACTTCAAAGGATTCTTCCCTTAAGATAAATAGTATAGGTATAAAGATGAAATAAAAGTCATTTGTAACCAGTTAAAAATTTCAACATTCAAAGGAAGAAAACACCCAAACAATTAACACTTGACCCCAATGATCTAACACTAAAAGAAAAAAAAAATTAGATTAACACTTTCCTTATTTAAAGAAAAGATAATATTCCGAATTTCACAAGGCTTCCATTGATAAAAGAGGATTTAATAATAAAAGCAAATCAAAATGCAAGATATTTACTGTAAAAGAACAGGTTTCACTGAATAAAGAAGGTAAAGTATTAAATGCAACCTAACAGTAATCAAATTAACTTTTATCGAATTCCAACTGCCAAGGGATCTTTCATGTGCATGCCAATGTGTACACAGGAGCTCGGTTTTTCATAGCATCCAAATGACTAGACAGCTGCCCTTGTCAGTCTCACCGTCCTGCACCACTGACAAAGTGAAACCACGCCAGAAATTCCTAATGAACTTTCTTGGTCAACACTGCGATCGAACCCACGAGCTCCAGACTAGCGAGTCAGTGTCTTACTCACTTAGCCACAGTGGCCCCAATTAAAGCTTAGGTGTATTATGGGAGATGAGATAAAAGGCTGTCAGTTGTCGCTATAATAGTTAATAAATAGATAAAATGAAGAGAAAAAGCTAAAAAATTTAGTCTGATTGCTCCACCCTGAACCGAGATATTGGCGATTGAATTTTAGGCCCAGCCTTGATCATCATTACTAATGTCGATACGATAAAAAAAAAAACAGTCTCGGTTATCCATTTTGATGTTAAATCATCCATCATAAAATGTATTTAAATTCAGTAAATATCGCAGGCTAGCGATGGCATCGAAAGTTGATTATGGTCTGTATACGTTAATTAATTTAGCTCTTGCATAATTTATGTTAAACAAAACCAAATACAATACGGCATTATAAAATATTATAATGTTAATCAATGTTCTTAATAGCATAACATACAATTAATTAATAACCAGATGTTGACCCGCTATTTTTACACTTATATTTAAAACAGCAAAAATCCACTCTCCAGCATTTACAATGTATGTTGCATTTATTTCTTGTCTTGAATTTCCTTGTCTGAAAGTTTCAGCCCAAAGTGATCACCAGAGCTTCAGGTACATAATTAGGTTTCTAAGAGCCTTCCATATAAAATTAATCCAAAGACCAATATCTGGGAGAGTTTCTTTAACTAGATATGACATAACACAAAGAAAGAGATATTTACTCAAGTAAAAGTGATTCATACTACCTCCTACACTATCAACAGCTTTGACAAGGATGATAACAGATACTTAAAGGGATACTCCTAACTACATCTATCACAAAATAAGACATCTGTCAATTCCTTTCTGGCTAAATATATGTATGTTCTATTTTGCCACCAATATCCAAAAAGATAAAAATATATCTCACAATTATTTTTAATTTGAATTGAATAATTCATAAGGATTGTCAGATTTTTAGAATTAATTTCTTCAGTATTATAATTCAGGAGATACAATTTAGGAGACAAAGAATTAAATGTTTAGATGAGATAGTGTCAGTAGCAAGGCTATCAAATTACCCATACACCTTCTGTCACATCTAGTAGTCTTAAAACTGTACAGAAGCTGTCATTCTAAGTGGTTGGAAGCCTGTGTAAATTTTCTAGGTGTTGTCATAGCAACAGGAATATAATTTACATGTAGTCTTGAAATGGGCATGTCTGGCAGATAGGAAGCTTAGATCAAAGTGACGGATTACACACAAAAGGAAGAGCATTTAAGTGATTTACAGTATAAAACATTGCTGTCTTTGTAAAACAATGTATATTTTATTAATATTAGATAGATAGTACCTCAGTGAATTTCAATTTGTTTATTATCTTGCAAAAGCCAATATAACGGTCATGTGAGTTTATTACATTGAACCGGTTTATGAATCATTGTGTTTGGTATGTTTTCAATGATGATACAAGAGAGATATTTTAAACTGTGGATGTTAAACATTCTATACATGTAGTTAAAATTTGACATATTTTATGTTTAGTCAATAAGAAAATTCTGTATTGATTGGTATTAATCATGTGTATTTAATAGTTATTTGAATAAAAACACTCATTTAATGAACATACAGATATGCATATCTGTAATGTTCCATGTAATAATAATGACTTTATTACTTACGTAGATACTATGTACAAACTGATTTAATTTTATTGCATAGTCTCACTATTAAAGGAGCACAGTAATATTAATTTCATTATTTTGCTAAAATCTGAATTTTTCTCATAATTTCTTATGAATTTTGTCTCACTGGCAACCCTTTGGTTCAAAGATTTTGGTTAAGATGTTTTATATCTTTAAGAATTCAACTTTATGAAACTTGGACAGGCTTAATTTTTATACGCCCATATGGAAGCGTTGTTAACAAAGTCATGGGTATCACAAAGCCATCTCATGACATAATATAAAGAGTTTTGTGATACTGGTGTCACCGTATCAAGTTTTTTTATGACTTGGATCCCATCTAAGTTATGTTATTCAATCGAATTGTTTGGGATTCCCCTCTCTCTTTATATTTATTTAGATTCACATTTTCATGAGGACTTACATTTATATTGTCGCCGTGTCCCATCGGTCCACAATTTGTTTGTGGACAATCTACGGGTCACAGGTTTTATCCGATTTTGTCCAAACTTGAAATATAGGTTTAACTCCAAAAGACGTCAGTTACTTTCAATATTGGCATGTATGGGACTGTAACTTCACGATTATGGCTGCTGATTGTATGAAAAATCATGTTTTTAGCTTGTGGACACTCTGGAGGTCACAATTTTTATCCAATTTTAAAAAAAAAAAACATTTAAATATATCAATGTTTTAATGTTTTGACAACAAAACTGTCTATTACAGAGAAACAGGTTTTTTTTCCTGCTTGTGCAAATGATTTCCCATTATGCATTTTATATAAACTAAAATCACTGAACAAAATTGAATTTGTTTACAATTACCCTTAAATATGTAGGTTTATGAATACATATTTTTGTCACACAGAGGAAATGTTTGTAAAGCTTTATTAGGTTAAAAGCACCAATTTATTTCCTGAATTTCAAATAAAATCTAATTAAATCCCTTGAATAGCGGATGTGACTGAAAATGTGCTTGTCAAGATTTATAATAAAATAAAAAAACAACATGTTATTTCATTGCTGATAAATGGTGTCGAGGTCAATATTTTCAGTATCTATTTTCACATTGGAAAAAAATAGAAAATATGTAAAATGATAATAGCTTTGACAGTGCTTGAAAAAAAAAAAGTTCATGTAAATAAAGGCATACAGGGATTACCCCAAATGATATCTACAGTTCAGCCTAACCTTGGTTCCAGATCTTTTCGATACAGTGCATCAGTTGTGTGGAATACACATGCACACATGATTCTGTGTCAGGTTTTAAATCCAAAGTGAAGACTTGGTTATTTAGTCACTATCAGGTACATGTAACAGGTAATTTATAAATTAGTTCATGTTGTTAGATCTTGATTATAGTTAAAAATAGTTACAAATAACAAGTGTGATATACATGTACATATACAATGTGTGATTGTTGAGGACAGTTGGTGAATGAAGGATTGAAAAAAGAATACTGTGTGCTTTACTTTCCATAAAAATGATTCAACAAATATCAACATGTACAATGTACCTACATGTACACTTAGTCTTGAAACACCATGTACCACAGAGGTTCACACATGTATTTCCTTATATTATATTTAGCTCACAGTCGAACACAAAATAATTTGAATGCCTTGAAGCTTGTCAACTCTCATCATCTTATATTGGTTTGATCTCTATAATATTAACCAAATATGTAAATTCAAGAAAATGCTCCACATGCATGGAAATTCTGAGTAAACAGATTTTGGGGCATGGTCAGTGGATTGCTATAATATTTTCATGTTTCAGTACTTCCCAAAAATAATTGAAAGATGAACTTGTCCTTT